ATCCATCATCAGATGGTTCTTGTGTGATACCTGGCCATCATTTGGGACTGAACCAGCTGAGCTGTGTTCAATACTTTTTCCCTGTGCCATTCCACATTATTACAAATAACTTCATTTCTGGATATTTATGGTTTGATTTCTTTGTATGTATGGATCACTTGGGTTGTTACCGACATCTGGTGAAAATTTCATGTCATTAGCATCTCTAGTAATATATTTACCGAGAAAAATGATGACGTGTTCAATACTTATTTTACCCGCTGTATACACAACTAGAAGTTAAAGACAGTTTGGGAGATCTGAAGGGTGTCATTCAACAAAAGCTTCACTGTTTCTCTCCTACTATGACAACTGGAGTAATTTATTTTTCCACACTAGTTGGTAGGGTTGGGCGATATAAAAAGTAATCACAATTAATTGTGGAATTTAACGATTAATATGAGGATTAATTCCACATGACCGGTTTGAATCACTCTAGTTGGAAAAAATATTCTCTCTGTTCCAATTTGTGTCAAAAGTAGATTTCAAGGTTTACACTAGTTTTTAAATTGTGTTGTTAGGTCAAGTAAAATGATTATGCTAAATAATTAACAGCACTTTTTTTTCTTTTTTTAAATGTTTGTCATATTTAAAGCGTTGCAGGAGGAGGCAGCGAAAGGCAGGCAGAGTCAGTAGCTGCGTTTCCATTGACCATGAAAATGTGCAAATTAGAATTTCGAAAACAAATTTGCTAAATGGAAACACATCAACTTCGAAAAAACTTAGGTTTTGCCCTAGGATGAGGTGGTTTTTCGGCCGTATTGAAATTGGTGTATTTCGCAAAACTGCAATGGAAACACTTTTTTCACATCATTGGAGTCACGTGATCAAGAATCGACTGTTTCTACTGGCAAAAAAGAAGAAACAGGAAATAGAAGTGGTAGTAAAATCACCAAAATTGTAAAAGAAAGTAGTAAATTCACCGACTACAATTTCCCAAAAACGCTGCATACGTAGCCACTCCCAAGTATTAGGGGCTTGTCGCTGGAAAGCCTCCATAAGACGCCGACATCTCCTCTGATGGCTGATGATGAGCGCTAGTGTCGTGGTAGCAATATGCTATGTGTTTACATCCATTGTCACCATGTTTGTAATGACTTATCACAAGAACAAATGTATTCACAATAGCATTTCTTACTTAACTGAAACACTGCAGTTGCGAAACTGTGTTCTTTGTTTTTTTTTACATTAACAGAATATCGACCAAGTTTTGCACATATTTGCAATGGAAACGCAGCTATTGTAAAAAAAAAAAACACCTCAGTCTACACTCTGGTTTCACCTCCACGCCTCCAAACTAACATAAAACCTCTAAAGTCTTTCTGACTGATGCCTGACATAATTAGACAATCACCAAAAAAGCTCCAGGATGAAGAAAAAAAAAGATGCGTAAGTTGAGTGAAGTTTAACTGCGATCGAGACACTGAGAGATCAGGACTGAGAGATGAGATTTGACAGATTTATTAAATTTACTGTGTTCAGATTTTAACATTAGRATTTCAGTTTAGTGTGTTTAGTCAGTTTTAGTGTTTTTGCGTCGAAACTATGAGGCAATATTTGAACGTGGAGCTGCGGCCCGAGCCGCAGTCAGAACCTTTTCAGAGAGAAACTCAAAGACAGAGGAAAAAAACCCAGTCTGAGACAGAGTGAGGACTTTAAYGAGGAAGGTGGTGATCCATTGCACACGGTAGGATTTTGCCCAACCCTACCGGTAGGTAGTTGTGGAATAATCTTGTGTTCTTGCATTGAGGTTGTTTAACATTTGAATTTGGGTTTTTTTTGTGTAAGGTCCATTGTGTAGCATGACCATTTTCTAAAAACTTTTATCCATACATGTTTTAATTTTACATGAATTAAGCCTATACACCAGATACTTTAAAAAAGTGAGACTTTCTGATTTGGTTGCACCTCACGTTCATATGCAAAAGATTTAGTGGGAAAAATTTAGATTTTATTTATTGTTTTTAAGACGAAGAATTATTACATTTTTGGTGAATCCAGGTGGACTTGAGATATAAAAAAAACCAACTTTCAGTTCTAGAAACAACACCGCTGCTTTACCCGGTAATTGTTTTTGCCCCGATCTTGCATTAATAAACTTGAATTGTGTGCTGAAAAAAGTTGATAAAAGAGAAAATTATAATGAGTCCAAAAATAAATAATAATAAAAAAACCAATCTAAATCTATTTTGAAGAATCTTCTGCCAAGCTAAGACTCTACTCTCTCTCTGTCATGTTGCTCTCACCATGTATTTCTGTGGTGTGGGTAAATCAGCGTTTTTGTTGAAATCTTCTGAACAGTTTTTTGAAGGGATTCATGATTAGTTGTAACAGACTTCATTTGATAAACATTTATTTTAACTGTAAAATAAAGACTGTAAAAATACTGTAGGCTGGTTAGTTTTTATCATTTTTAAAAATACATTTTAGCACGGACAGAGCCATTTTATTTACACACAAAGCATTCTGGGTAAATTTTGACATGGATAGGTCCTCGGTGCGAGGCTGCTAGCAAGCTATATCCACCCTGAAGGTTAATCTTGGACAATATCTGATGATCGACTCTTTTAAATGAAACCAGAGAGCGTTGACAGAGAGGAGAAGGTAGAAATGACTCAGCCTGTAACTGAAAATATGGATGGAGGACAACAGAGCTGCTTCATGGAAGAAGAACCTCAGCTTAGCCTGTTAGCTTTCGCGCTAGCGCCCACGCTATATTGCCTTATATGTATTAACTCGGTGCTAGAGCAACAAACAAGCTAAACCCAGGTCCTGCATCCATATTTTCAGTTGCAGCTGAGTCATTTTTGTGTTCCCCTCTCTGTCATGTGGATGGAGGACCTCAGTGACGAGAGGAGAATGTGTAGCGCTGAGCTAATGCATATATATGGCAATAGCATCGGGGCTAATGCTAAAGCTAATAGACTAAGCTGAGGTTCTTCTTCCATGAAGCAGCTCTGTTGTCCTCCATCCATATTTTCAGTTACAGGTTGAGTCATTTCTACCTTCTCCTCTCTGTCAACGCTCTCTGGTTTCATTTAAAAGAGTCAATCATCAGATATTGTCCAAGATTAACCTTCAGGGTGGATATAGCTCACTAGCAGCCTCGCACCGAGGACCTATCCATGTCATCATTTACCCAGAATGTTTTGTGTGAAAATTAAATGGCTCCATCCGTGTAATATATATTTAAACTTTTAGTTTAAAAATTATAAAAACTAAACAGCCTACAGTATTTTTATATTCTTTATTTTACAATTAAAATATATGTTTATCAAATAAAGTCTAATGTTACAATTAATCAGGGATCCCTTTAGTGATATCCAGTTAAGTGTTGAAGGCGGGTTTAACTTGTCAACTAAAAAGGAAATGTTTGGTTTAATGTATTGTTTGTCCTCATCTGTATTGTCAACCATTATCAAGACTTTTTTTTTTTTGCTCATCTTTAACAGAGCCTGAAAGAGGGACTAACCGTTCAGGATCGCATGAAGCTTTTTGAGGCAAAAGACCCAAGAAAGATTTAATTATCAGTGAATGACGAGTTTCCTCTTACTTTTTTTGCAATCCGATGTATGATCAGATCTTCGTGGAAAAGTCTTGAACTGAACGCTCAGATTCCATTCCTCTGTCTTTTGATTAATTGAATTTACAGAATGAATCCTGTAAGTTAARTTTTTGAACATTACTTTGCATTGGAAACGTGTCAAAGGGCTGTTAGAGGGATTTTTAATCCGAGTTTCTTTTGATCCTCAAAATGCTTAAACTCACAGCAATACACAGTATGAATAATATATATTTCCCAGTATGAATTAGGTATCTGCTGTAGTTTATTCTTGTTACAGTGTTTTATATTTAGTGATTTTACGCGTTTTAATGTTGCACCAGTTGAGTTGTATAAAGCTACTGGATTTCTGTGTAGAGTGGAGTTCGGTAGTGATTGTTGGGACATCTGCTGTATTATAACAATGGTTTGAGTGATGATGGGAAAACGGTGTGATCATGTTTGTGTCTGAGAGTTTTCTGACGAGTGTGTCTGTGTGTGAAGGTGGTGTGTGGGGAGGGGGGGATTGCACTTACTTGACTACTTCAGAAAGCTTGTTTTTAATTTTAACCTTTGAAAATTAGTGTAGTAACTACAAGTCAGTCTTTGCAGTGCAACCAAACATTGAAACTCGTGTATTATTCAGTGAACAGTGGTTTCAGGTTTGTGATACTGTATATTTTTTTTCCTTTTTATTTTTCTTTTTTAAGTTCTTTAACGCTGGTTTCATGTTTTATTTGATGTGAGGAAGTTGTCTTAGCAAAACCATGTAGGACCTTGCATGACTGTACTGCTTAATTTAAACTGCAGAATGATCCTGTCGCCTCATTTTATTTCTTTTTTAATGCTTTAGTGTGAAACTTTTAACATTAATAAGCTTTGCTTTGCAGATCCTACTGTTTAGTTTATTAAGATTGAAATGTTTTACTGTAAGCAGCAGTCTGGAAGCACTTGGCTCAGTCCTGAACATCTCACTAAATCTAGTTGTTCCTCAACTGTGTGATGAAAAGAAACATCCATGAAACCTGTGCAGCTATGGATACACACTGTATAGTATTCAAATCACGCCTTGTACATAAGAATATGCCACACGGAAGCCTTCTGTGTTTTTTTTGTTTGCTCAACAGCTCTACATGAATTATATATAAATGAATATTTTTTATTTCTTTTTGAATGTATACCGTCAAATAAATGAAGTGTTTTAAATTGTCTCTTTTGTTGTTGTTGTTGTTGTTGTTTTTACTGAAAAATTTTTGTAAGCTTTATCAGATTAGCAAAACGTTTAAAAAAAGTCATCTAAATGTTAAAGATTATATTTTTCAAAAGTTTAGGAGAGGCAGGATGATGAGTATTCTCTATTCTGCTAATAAATGTAGGTGAAATACAAGTAATGATTTATATCAGGGTTGCCCAAACTTTTTCCCTGAGAGGACCAAAATGATAATCTGTCCAAAGGTTGCGGGCCAAATTAAATAATATAATACATGAAGTGGAAATACTTTTCAAGTAAAGTCTTTTTATTTTTTATGATTAAACTAGGTGCCATTGCTGTGGCCCACGTTTTTGTTTGTTCTTTTAGCCCGTGCACTTGGAGAACATTTGACATAAGCTCGAGCAGCAAAGGCTCATGAGATGTGGGGAGTTGAGTATTTGTGGTCTTATAAAGTGTTCAAATCCGCACATGTGCTGAAATGTAATCTAAAAACTGTATTTCCTTTAATTATTATTTCATGTTAAATCGTAATATATTTCATAGAAAAAGTCAGCAGCATGAGTGAAAACCATCTGCACTCAGTCCCTTACATTGCCATGGGGCCAGATGGATTAACTGTCTGGAAATACAGTGTTTCTGCAGAGGACGACCGGAGATTACAAACTAATAACCAGGGCAACTATTGGGCCAAATCAAATATCTTGGCGGGYCTATTTTGGCCCCACTTTTGGCACCTCAGATTTATGCTTGTAATTTCTAACCCTAATTTACAACAAAGATGCAGAACATGTACAGTATATGTAAAGCCACTCAAACTAGTTACAAGTTGTGCATGTTTAACTTTATAAATGATAAAAAAAATTTTTTGAACCCTAATATAAAGTATAAATATCTGCTCTTTTTTTCTCTTTCTGTAACAGTTTCAGTGTTAAAGTGGATCACTTCATGGACCCATGTTTGTTTTTCATGAAATATCCTGAGAAAGCTGCTGTCCACACATCTGAGCCTTGTTCTTTTAAGTCTCTTGTTTGAGTTTTTGTCAGCTCTTTTATTCACAAGCATATCAGCAATAGAGCCACAACAAAATCCATCAGTTTTTGTCCACATGAGGGAGCTATCAGCCTAGACTTTAGTTGAAATCTTTGCTCAGATACAGTATATTTTGTTTCTTTTTCAAGAAGAAGCTGATCGTTTAGGAGTTACAGGCCGAGCATTAACAAAAATGGTTCACACCACCTTTAAAATATCACGGCTTCAACTAGAACATAATGAAAGGGAAATAAAATTATATAAAAATGCAGAAGTGAAAATGGTCTTGGAGAATTATAAATAAATAAACTTGCAGTTCAATGAATTGGTATTGTCTTAAATCATATGCACAGTGTGAGCTAAAAGTTGCAGGACACCCTTTAAAAAAATAAAATAAAAATCTGAATAACCCAACAAGTAATCAGTGAGGGGSTCTATGTTTTAGGCTATGTCCAGAACAGTCTTGAAAAGCATCATATTGGATCCAGGGCAGGTTTTTCAAGAAGGGTATAACTTCAGTCGGTATAAGCCACACCCCTGTTTGCTGTTTGTATTATTGAGCTTTTCCAAAGACAGACCCCCTCACATTCCTGGGGTGTGTAATTTTCCCTTTTTTATTCTGAAATGAAAGAGCGTCCTGCGTCTTTTGACTCACCTTGTATGTACATATACTGTGTACAGACAACCTACTGAACCAACTTCAGTCATACATCATTCATCTGTCCAACCAAGTATTGTGGTTGGCAAACTACAGAAGAAATGTAGTTTTAGTGGTGAAGAAGGAACGTGAGAAGCTCAAGAAATACCAAGGGCCGGAGGAGGAAATGAAGAAGCTGTGGGGAGTGAAGGCCTCAGATGGTGGTCATTAAAGCTCTTTGTACTAACCAAGCTGGTAAAATGGCTTCAACAGATCCCAGGAACAAACTCAAAGATTTCTGTCCAGAAGAGGAACAGTGAAGATCCTGAAAACCCTCAGGCTCCCAGGCCACTGGTAGAGGACCATAAAAACAAGGCAAGCCATTTGTTATTTATTTACTGTAAACATTTCAATAATCTTTAGTTATAATCTTCATTATGCATCTCAAAACTTAAGCCTAAATTGATTCAAATGGTTTTGCAACATTTCTGTATAACTTCGCCGCTGTAAGCCGTTCAGGTAAGGTTGAGTGTGAAGAAAGAGAAATTAAAGTTAAAATGATTGGACATATATTTGACCTCTTCAGTTTGAACTTGTACCGGTGGCTCTGCTGATCCTGGCAGCTGACCTTTGAGGCCGTGTGATGATGGTGAAGGGGCTGAAGGATCTGGGGCATCTGTGCCGTAGTTGGAACAGACAGTCCGTCTTAAAGTTGGTCCACAAGAGGCTCCGCCCTGCAGCCCTGCAGCCGTGACCTTTGCAGTGGGGTTCTCTGGGTRCAGGAGGACCAGCACAGGTAACCTCACTGATGGCACTTTGGCTTAAGGAGCTGCTTCACCTTTATCACATAAAAACGGCTGGGATTTAGTTTTGCTCCTTTTTGTCCTGTGGGGCTGCCACTTTGGATTTGTTTGTTTCCTAAGTGATACAAATTTCCACAAGAACTATGTATGTATGTATCTGTATGTATACATGCAAACAAAAAAAAGTTTCTTGTTTGATCACGGTCTTATTTTGCGTATCATGTTCCTCGTTCTGTGTCCTGTTTTTATAAAAGAATAGCACACTTTGTTTTTATACAGTGTATTATACAGTTTATTTTCAATACATAAGATGAACCAGCCAAACTCAACAAATGTATACATTTATAAAAAAACATATTTTATATTTAATTACATTTATTATATATACAGCATTTACAAACCCTTTAAAAGGATTGTCTCAGCCTTTTTGATGAACACAACTGTTTTAAACAGAAAACTGTGATGATTTTTTTATTATTATTATTCATTCAAGAGGAATTTGATGCAACAATCGTGCAACCAAACAAAAAGCTTTTGCACGTTTTTGTTTTCTGTTTCTTTTCAGGTGCTTTTGTGAAGCTGCACCGGGACTCCTCTTTCTGCCAGTTCAAATCAGAGGCGTGCCATTTGTTATAAAACTGCATTCAAGTCATGTTCGTTGTGATACAGCCTGAAGTTTAGCTGTCAGGAGAGGTCAGAGGGCTTGGAGGGCACTGTCCGTCCAGCCGCTGAATGGAAGGGGGTCTCTTTGGAGGTTTGACAGAAGAGGGGAGGTCAGCGAACACAACGGATCGGCCATCCGGGCAGAGGAGGACGCTGGAGTCCGCCTCACACTTGGTGGTTCTGCTCGGCCACAAGGCCTCCGCCGATCTCAGATTGAGACCGGCTGGAGGGAGGACCTCGGTGTTCACGACTGACGCTTGGCTCATCTTGATCAGCATGTCCAGCGACTGCTTCCGACTCTCCAGCGAAGCCCTCATCATCTTCCTCTCGCGCTCATCCTCCTCCTCTCTGTCATTTCTCTCTTCCAGCTCCTCGTCGTCCTCCTCGGTCTCAGTGGCGTTGGTTCTAAGGCCGCCGTCCTCTTTCATGGCGTGCTCACCTACAGAGTCTGTTGAGTCCCTTTTAACTGACAGGTCAAGAGGTCCGTCAGTCTGGGCGGCTGTCCGCTCCAGAGCCTGATGAATGTGAGCAAGCTCGCTGCGGATTTTGTTCAGGTGCTCCCAGAGGTGCCGCTGGGCAGGAAGGTCCTCTTTTTCCAGGTGGGAGATTTTGTGTTCGGCCTCCTGGTACTCCTGCAAAGCCTTGGAGAGATCACTGAGAAGAGCGACCACCGACTCGGAAGCTTCTTCCTCAATCGTTCTGGGGGCAGTCGAGTCTTGGCTGTTGGTTTCCCCACCGGCTGACAGAGATGCTGTTTCACTGCTGGGACTGGAGAGGGGATGGTTGTACCACAGTTCACCTGGCCGGGTCTGAAGCTGACCATTCTGAGAACTATAAATGAGAGAGAAAGATTATAGATTTTCTTTTGAAACCTCAAGTATTTGAGACATGAAATGCAAGAAAACACTTCTTATAGTTTGGTGTATCTATAGTAAGCATAAAAAAATACTGTTTATGTGTTCSATCACCTCTACCTGTTTTGTAAAAGAAGTTTTTCAGCTGAAACAGTCTGAATGTTCTTCAGAAGGTCCAAAGTAAAACCCATGGCTGGCTTCTTCTCCACAGGAGCCTCGTGACTTTTTAGCGCAGCTCCCGTCCTCTTTAGACCACAGCTGGCTCTGCCTTCCTTGACCTGAATCTTATCTGCCAACCTGTGGTTCTGGTCAAGCGAGTCCCTCTGAGGGGACCCCCAGCCACCAGGGGATACCGTGTTTCCTGGCCGCAAAGCAGGTACTTTCCACAGATTGACTTTAGGCTGGAAGCTAGACAGAGGATTTGCCTCTGGACTGTTTGTGGACGTCTTGAGAGGTTTCCCGCCGTCACTCTGACCGGAGGCTGGTCCGAATGTGTGCTCACACAGGAATGGGTAGTAGAGGCGAGGGGGGATAAGAGCTCTGTCTGCGTGCGCATTGGAGGCCGGGTGCACCAGCTGAGCAGCCGAAGCCAAAAACGGAAGCTGAGCAAACTGAGCATGGGTCTGAGCGGTGACACTTGAGGCTGCGGATGGAAGAGCTGAACTCATGTAAGAGAATAGGCTCGGGCTGATGGGATAACCTACTCCAAACACTGACAAATTGAGTCCGGTGGGGTCCTGGTAGTCCACCAGGTTTGCTGGTGGAGGATAACAGGGGATTGAGCCGTTCACTCGAGGCTGAGTGCCGTCAGATTTGGCCTTTATGTGTTTGGACGCCAGCAGTCGCCACTGCTCTGTCAGGTTCCCAGGACCGGTCAGACAGCTCATTGGTTGCTTGTAGTGTCTCAGCTGGGCCTCGACCTCCACAGAACGTGCTCGTAAGAGCTGATCTTCGAGGGACAGCATGTCAGCCATCAGGAACTCTGACTCTGATTGTTTGCCCTTTTTAATGGCGGCCTCTGCAGCGTCTCCTCGACTGTTGCCGGAACTCTCTTTGGCCAAGCCTGCAATTTCTTCATGCTCCTTTTGTCCTCCTTCTTCTTCTGCTTCTGCTCCGTGGACATCCCTGCCTTCGCCGTCCTCCTCCACAGTCCTTAGTTGCCCCTGCTTCTCCTCATTGCGCATCACCTGCTCCAGCTCGTCCGGCCCCGCCGCATGCAGGCCGTGTGCCTGCTGGAAGGGTCGCAGCTGGTCCGGGTGCAGTATGTTGCCCTTCTTGTACGGCCAGTCGGACTCTATAAGCAGAGACAAGGAGTTCTTGCAGAGGCTGTACTTCATGTGGTTATACAGGTGGGACTTCTCCATGCAAGTGAAGGGACACTGGAAGCACTTGTAGTTGTAGGGTTTGCCCCATGGCCGGGGAATGTAGTGAGGCTTTTTAGGCTTCCGCTCCTTGTGTTTGTTGGCAGATGTTACTTTGCAAACATCCTCCTTGGACATGATTGAGGCTTTTATTTTAGGCTATGTGGTGTAAACGATTGTTGTTAAGACTGGATTAAATATTGCATCCTCTTGATATATTTCCCACTGTGCCTGTGAAACAAACAAAAAAATACAATAAAAGAGTGACACTAACAGACTGAGTGGATGCAGTTGTAGTTCATCATGTTTGTTCTTGTGACGCGACATCTTGCATTTCTGTAAAACATCTCAATAAGAGTTGTGTGCATGTGTGTGTGTGTGTGTGTTGTTAGAATGCATTTGTTGTCTGGTTGATCTGAGCGCTGCCACTAACCTAACTGCAGGGAGGCCTGGGCCACCCCGCTCTCACTGTACCTGCCACTTCTCATTAGTTCCAATGCAGCACCAGGCGATCTCAGGGCCCCGGGCTGGGTGGGGGGTGCTGTCACAGGGGACCCTGCACCTGTGCAGGGGGCTCTCACTGCACTGAGTTTAGGGCATAGACCCTCGGAGGGCAGCTACAGGCACAGAGCGCGCCCATCCTGTGGATGGTGCAGGACTCGTGGAGGGATGGGAGAGAAGTTGGGGGTTTGAGGCCTAATTCCTAATGAGGGCCTGTGCCTATAGGGCGTCATTAGTGCCAGGACCGGGATCTGGGTCAGGACATGGTGCATAAGTTCAACTGGTCCCCACTGCTGTCTCATTGGACTACTTCTTCATTTAGTCTCATTCTTGATAAGGACTAATATTTTCTGAATACAGCAAAAAGTCAGAATATTAAAATCTTGTAACCACTGTTACAAAATAAAAAGCGCTTTTTGATTACATCTTTAAAAAGAGGCCAAATTTAGCAAAATTTAAATTGCACATCCTTAATTTTAGTTTATAACTCTTGTTTTAATTTTGAACTAAAGATATGATCTTCCATCTAAATTAGAATTCAAGTCAGCGTGTTGATATATATTTTCCTGTCTTTTATTTTGGTTTTTCTCTTCATTTACTCTTATTCATATTTAAAAAATAGTTGAATTCAAATTATTTCATTCTAAATAATTAAATTTAAATGATTTGTTAAATTACTTGTGATCTTTTTCTAGTCTGAGCCAAGCTGCAGGCTGAAGCCAGGAGCGAGGAGGAGTTTTATTATTTTTTTCTCCTGTTTAAAAAGCTTTGAGGCTTTTATTTTGTCTTTTTTCTGCAGGTCATTCGAAGATGAAAGCAGGTGAGAAGTTTAGACTCCAAAGTAAATAGAAAAACTTCATCGGGTCATTTTTTTTTGAGACAATGTTTAGAGATAAAGGCCAGTGAAGCAAGCAGCTGATGGATGGGCGTTTATGGTGGGAGACAAACTAATCTTTAAATCCACACATGAAGGTTTTTGATGGAAGACCCGATGAGTCTAACACAGGATGGCATGCCGGTACCCACTGCTCTCCCTGGGCTGGACTCTCAGAAATGGCCCGTTAGCGGCTGACCATTTGATTGGCTCTGTTGTGCGCCTCAGGGCTCTGACCTGAGCTTTGAGCTTATAATGGAGTCTAACAGCTGCAGCTACGAGACAATCAATAAAAATCATTTTTACACTACATTTTTCCCCTTTCTCCTGGCCATTGCTATCTGCTCCCCTCCCACTACCAGCACCCGCTCCTCACCCCCACTGCTGGCCCATATCCAAACCCTGTGGTCTTGTTTTAAGCTTTTAGGGTTGTGATCAAACAAGCTCAAACACTTCAACATGTATTGTTGCAATTGAGAACGTTCACCACTAAAAGCTTTGACAAGCCACAATGCTTACAGCGACCGCAGCGCTGAGAGCAAATGACATGGGATTTTCAACCGCACAACACATAAAGGCAGGAGAATAAGTTTTAAACTCATGTTAGATTAAAAAAAATCATAATTAAAAAAATTACCTTAGATATGAGGTTTGGTGTCGGCTGTGTGAGGAGAGAAGATCTGGAAAAAGAACAGAGAAATTCCTTTATTCTAAAGCAGAATTAAATGTCAGGAAAGTTTGATAAACCATTTAAATTATTTACTGATGTTTCAATTTATAAATCAAACAACAGATATTGATGCTAAGAAATAATTAAAAGTTGTAAAAGAAAATCCAAATGAAAACTTTTAGTGATTACATTTACATTTCATTAAAAAAATATTATCTTGAGAACACATTTGCTTTAAATTCTGACAACTAAAAATCCTTTTAAAGCATTTTGCATCAAATTAAACAGCATTAGTTCATATTAAAGGCCACATTGCAAAAGTTCTTTAAAATCTAATTTCATTTGTTTTAATTTAATTTGATATTTTTTTACACAAACTGATCTGCTTGCATACCTGCAGCTGCCTAAAAAAAAAGTCTGGATGGAAATGGATTAGTTCATACCTGGAGAGCGTCCCGGTGTGGCTGTCTGTCACTTCTCTGCAGCAGGAGCAGCAGGAGCAGCAGGAGCAGCGGAGCAGCGCGTCTCACTCAAATGGGAGCGCAGGAGCGAGAGTTGAGATATATATTGACTGGGAGCACTGCCCTGAGGCGCTACAATGCAGCAGCTCCCCCCTCCTCTCCTACATGCNGTCAAACGTGGTCTCTACCTTGGAACCTAAATAAAACAACTTAAAGATTTTTTGGTGACGGCTGGTGTTAAGGTTAGAGCAAATGTTTGAGTCATTAGATTTTCATAACTTGATTTTTTTCTTTTTATTATTATTTGACCTGTCAGTCTAGATTTACAAAAGAAGATTAGGGCCACTGGAAAATAAATAAATAATAATAAAGTATGACTTTCATCTCAGAATCCTGACTTTTTCTTAGAATTCTGAGATGAAAGTCAGAATTGTTTTTTTTCTCAGTGACCTTAATCCTCTTTTGTAAAGATTTAATTGTGAATTTCATGCATTAAAAAACATAAAGATTTTTATGATAAGAATTAGGAGAAAGGGAAATCAACATCATAATTTGTCTTTTGATAAATATGGTTTTTGAACCATTCATTAGATTATCATACTTGAACATTTTCCGTTTATCAGCAAGTGAAAAGAAAGATGCACAAACTGTTTCGGTGTCAAGTTTACAACTTTTATTCCTGCCGCCATAAAATATGCATTTCAGCAAACCAATTCATGATGCAGAACTTCACCATCCTCACCTTTTTATTTTTATATTTTTATGCTTAAAAAACATATTAGTTTTTACTCAGGTGTATGCTTAGTAACCAGCCAACTACATAAGAAATAACTAAAATATGAACTCAGATTTGTCTTCTCACAGCTTATTCTCTTTTTTTTCTGCTTCTTGTTCTATTTCCTCTCTTTACTCCCTCTTACACTCTAAAATCTAACTTTAACCTCCCAGCCTTTATTTTCTGTTTTCCAGTCACTTTCGGGTCAACTCCAGGTTCTGCCTTTCTCTCCAGTGGCTGGCTGGATGGGGAGGCTGGCATGCGAGCCCCTTTGAGAAATCAGTCAGTGTCCGTGTGCCGGGGAAAGTCGGGGGCCCTTCACGAGCCATCGGGCCTGCTGTCACTCAGAGGAGGCCAAATGGAGACTGACAGGCCACTCCATAGAGCCTAACCATCTGTACCAAATGTGACAGCAGGGCGAAGAGGATGTCTGGTAAATCAGGAGGAACGACAGGAGTGCAGTGTGACACGAGGAGGACGTACAGAGGGAAGAGAAGCTGCAGGAACACACAGAGATCCTGCTCCTCTTAAAGTGTGGGAGCATGATGGGTCGTGTCAGGTTTTTTTTTTTTTCTGAGCAGGGAGAGTAGACTCTTTCGAACTACATCAAACACTTAGAGGAAGAGTCTGTTTCTTCTGTTCTGTCTAAATGTGTTAAGTGAGGAGAGACTTGTGCAGCGCTGCCACTCCCTTCAGTCTGTCTTCTGTCAGGCTCTMAGGTCTGCTGTGCTTGTACGGGACAGATCAGGGATTTTACAGCCAAATGATTCACTTTTTTTTTTACATCCAACAGCATCGCTTGCAGTCATTTGCTCAAAGTAAAGTGTCTATAATATTTTTGTTTTATATGTATGAAAATGTCAGCAGTAAAAAATGTTTAGCAGGTTTTAACAGTCTGTAGAGATGCACTGATCACAGTTTTTTGTTCAGTGGTTCGATTGTTGATTTTTGCCATAAAGAAAAACTCCAGACTGAATCCACTGTGCTTTACATAACCATTTTTTTCTTTTTTTCTTTTTCTGACTGTGTTGATCTGTTTCCTGATCAAATAACAAAAATAGTATTTGAGCGATCTTGTACATGTCACAAGTCAGGTCCATTGAGATGAAAATAGTTAAAGTTTTGGTAACTTTATTGAATTTATTTTTAAAGCTGGCTTTACTTTTCTAAAAGCAATGCAAAAAAGTATAATTAAAATATTTCTGAAAAGACTGACTCACTAAGTTAAACGTCTACAGTTATCAAGCTCTGCACCATCCGAGGTTATATAGGTATAAATAGGTATACTGTATATATATACTGTATATATATATATATATATATATATTAGGGGTGCAACGAAACAGAAAATGCACGATTTGGTTCGGTTCAATTCTTTAGTCTCACTGTTCAATATTTTTTCGATACAAATAACAGAAATTTCCATGCCCTTTTTAACTTGTAATTTATTGAAATTATTCATGAACATTTGTTGAACCTCAAAAGTAATGTTTTCAAATTAAATTAAAACTTAAATTTTGCTGAAACAGCAAGTTTCTCAGAGGAAATTTGCTCGAAAATACAGCCTAGGTGGAGTAGTCGAACACAGATCCTCTGTTTTGAAGGACATCTTCAGGATGTGTTGTTTGATACAAGTGTGTATTGAACCTAAAGCACTGTATTGAACGGTTTGATATGGTACATGTATTGTTGCACCCCTAAAAATATATAAATAAATAAATAAATAAATAAATAAATAAATAAATAAATATTGCACATTATACATAATTGCTGATCGGACATTTCATAAATAAACATTGTGATTATTTCCAACCTGTCTGTCTCTGTAAACAACTAATTTTCATATAAAACCCAACACGCTGCACAAACCTGAGGTGTCGTTTAGCAAACAGGCTTTTTGCCTGAAAACTTTCACTTAAATGACAAAACATAACTAGTCCAAATGTTCATATGTTGACAGATAAGATCCTTTTTTTATTTTCTGCACAGTTTTTGCAGTTGTCACCAAAACATAAACATAAAATGTAAGTGATTTTGTTTTATGGTTTGAAGGTTTTTGTTGAGTTTTGGCTCCTTTTAATCTTCTTGTCCTTTCTGTTTCTTTATTGTTTGTATTTTGTGGTGCTTTAAACCTGATCATTTTAACTTGTCATTTTCACTTCATGCAAACTTATCATGAGACAATTGGTCCCCCCCACCCCCATTCTTTTAATTAGTCACACAAGGCCACACTGAGAAATATTAGGTGTTATAAATTCTGGAAGTTGCAACATCTAACAGAAGTTACAACATCACCCACATAGTGGACAGGTGTGGGCCAGATATGGTGTCAAACACTGCTGGCTGGGAAGTGGTGGATGTGGGCCAGGCCCGGGAACGATGACACTGTTTTTCCGATGGCATGCCATAAATGGCCCAATTGTTGTTCGGTGTATGCGATGCTGACGCACCACCTCTAGAAAACCACATCTGGGCTCTTCTGTTATCTGGGCCGAGTATTAGTGTCTTGTGTGGGCCAGAACTGGGCAAACGAATTTTGCAACGTGGGAAGATTGCAAGTAAGATTTGACACTTAAATCAATAATTACTCATTAGTAAAACATTTTTAGATACAAAAGGTAATTTCTTAATATACAGGGTGTAAAACACTCTTCTTCTACTTTAGACCTGTTTTGCATCAGTTCATAAACTCCATTAGCTGCGTGCCTATTGATATTAAATTAACAGAATAGCTGACGTATTGTCCCCTCAAAAGTTTTAGTGTTCCCTCTGGACTTCCTGTAAACTGCTCCGTTTCTCTGCAGTCTGCAGAGAGAGAGAGAGAGAGAGAGAGAGAGAGAGAGAGAGAGAGAGAGAGAGAGAGAGGTAAAAAAATATGAAGAAACTGAGACTTGCTCTGTGAACGCAAAACTCTCCTGGCGAGTGGAGCGTCCTTATGGAGCGGCATCTGTGGAGGCTGACAGGAGCACTCTATTACCACTCAGAGGAAGGAACCCGAGGGCTGCAACAACACCGCTACCAGCAAGATCCAGCTGTGCAGAGGCCTCCAAACACACACACACACAGACAAACCCATGCAAATGAGGAGAAATATTCAGAATAAACTTGCTCCACATCGTTCGACAAGATGAACTGTATGCTTTGTAAAGAAATGTACGGATGGCGAGAATAGAAAGATGGATGACTGAATGGGACCACAAACCCCTGGATGATCTCCAGCTTTTCTTCACTGCCTGACTTTTAGGCCCGAGGTGGAATAGCTAACAGCTCCTCTCAGCCAGTGCTACTGGGCACATTAACTAAACTCATATCGCTCTCAGCCACAATCAATTATTCACCAGCCGCCTTTCCCCTCTTTCCTCCAGTTTTCAAAAAGAAAACTCCAGCAGCAAAACACACAGCCAGTTCAGACACAAAACAACTTCATGCCGTCGGTGAATTCCTTTGGTTTGTATTTGCACCCAGTAGGTTCTGACTTTAAGCATCGTTAGAATTTTCTTTAACATGCTAATGTCGTTCTTACATCATTGTTGCAATATTATACTTTTATATTCACTAAGCCTTTGGAGTAACTGAAATCCAGTTTCAGAACATTAGTGTAGTAAAAGAGATGCACTCTATCTCAGTTTATTCACAAATAAACCTTTGGTCATTAAAAAAACACTCAAATTTTGAATTTGTGTTAAAAGACAGATTTGCTTCAAACTCAGTGTTGTCACAAATGTCTCAAACTCATCAGAATTATGTTTTTGGTGTTTATAAGTCTTAAGAGAGCTAGAATTGGATTTTGACATTTGCACTGGAGCTCTATGATAAAAGATATTTGAGGTCAAAGTCCAAATCTTAAAACCACACTGATGATAAATAAAACTAATAAAAACCAATAAAATCAGCCTATCTTTACTTCAAAATGGGTCCTTCAGCAGATTAAGTAATAATATGGAAGCAGCAGCCAGAATTAGTACAAACGACATGAGGCAGGTACAATGTCCGCAAAGATAGACAATAAAAAACAGTTTTTCCAGTCTGAAAAGAAGCATTTAATAAAAAAAAAATGGATGTTCAAAACATGGAAATTTGGTTGCAAACAGAAAATTCAGTATAAAAAGGAAAAATTGCAGTTTTCCTGCAATTTTGAGATATTGCCTTTATAATGAGCCGATAGGAAGAAATAGTTGGGATAAACCCCAACTGACCAATCRAAATGTTAAAAACAGTCAGAAAGAYAGAAGTTTGTGCTGAAGACACCTTAAACCACTCATCATCCATAAAATATACATATAATTATATGAAAACTGTGATTGGGTCTCTTCAACAGCTATATTATAAACATGAGTATATACTGTCATGACAGTTTTG